GTGGTGCTTAGTTGCTGGTTGGGGTTAAACCATGACAATGAGCCAGGATTGCACGAAGTAGCAGTTTCCAAGGGTTATGGCAAAATGGTTTTCAAAAATCCTCAGACAACCTCCTGCCATGTCTCCCTTTCTGATTTGTGACTGACTGGACTGAGCTTTGAGTAGCACCAAAAGACAAAATTCAGCTTTGCGGGATGTAAGAAAAGGCAATGCCAGAGGAAGGGTACTGGGTTTCTACTTAAACTAAAGGAATATGTACCAGCTGAGAGGTAGAAGTCCTGGTACAGTGAAGGGCCAAGGTACTTTTTTTTTTTTAAGAAGGAATTATGTACAGATAATTTTGCCCCACATTACATTCCTCCCTCCTACACACACACACACATACATAATCTGAACACCCACTGCCCTTTTGGTCCCCAGTTAGATGTCACTAGCTAGGGTTAGCATCTGCGCATCCTTTTCTCCCCCGTTGGCCTGCACCACAGCTCCCATCTTCCCTAAAATACTTCTTAGCCTTTGAAAGCTGTAGGTGGGCAGATCACAGTCAGCCAGAGTGTTTCTTCTCCTTTACTTTCACTGTCTCTCAGCACACACAAAAAAGCTGGTGGCAAAGAGGAGATGAGAGAGAAGAGCAAAATTGTTGGCAATTCGCTTTGTTCTTTACCTTGCCCATGCCTTCCTTTCCATCTTCTGTTTCTCACCCCCATCTGCTGATAGGCACATAAGTGGCTAATGTCCTGTCATGCTCAGAGACAGTGCTGAAGGTCAGGGTCATTCCTGGGGTTACCCACAATAAAGCAGTTATCTGTGCTAAAGCCATATACGTTGCTTTATGCTCCTTGCTCCTGCCTGTATCACAGCAGGATTTCATTTCAGCAGAACTCTGTAAGTCAGCAGGAACAGGGAAAAAAGTCCTTATTCTCTCTCTGAAGTTTCTGCTTCATAAGTTCTCTGGGGCAAGGACTGTCTTTTTTATTACCTGACTGGGAGGAAGTGGCCTTGATTTCTCAGGCATCCTTAGACACTAAGAAAGAGCAAATACTGAACGTCAGCAACCTTACAGCTATGGACAGCCAGAGGCAGCAGATGTTCATCTCACATGATGACAGGTATGAAACATGTCCTCTGACTAAATGTAAAAATCCTTGGCAGGAGGTGGCTGACAGTGAACAATCCCAGGAAATTCATGTTTCAGGTTGAATTTAACCTAGTGACTGCTGGAGAAATTCAGTCAAGTTGGTAAGACTTTCAAACTTGGAGCACCAGGTGGTTATCTTCATGATGCATCTCACCAGGCACTTTATATCTCTGTTTTATATTTCTCTAGCTTTATTTCACTCGTTAGAGTAAAATAAAATGTCTGACTCGGCTCTGAGCAGTTTTCCAAGAGGAGCTACTAACTGCATGGGAACAATGAAGTGGCTTGCTTATTTCCAGAACTTTCTGAAACCATAGGCTATTTCAAAGCCCATCATGCTAGGAGTGAACCAGGCTACAACTCGTTGCATAAACTCTTGTGCTGTGGCAGGGTGGGACGAGATGATCGCAAGAGGCCCCTATTAACCCAAATGACTCTGTGCTTCTGTGAATACCCAATTAAAGCATTTCAGATTAAATTGGCTGCTTACTCAAACACTTTCTGGTGCTGTTCCCAGCATGGTGGAGCAGTGGAGAGCACAGACCCCCTCTCCCCGGTGGGTTGGGGGAGTTGCCCCATGGCGATGTCTGGCTGGCCCTTGGGGGAGGCCCTGGTGTGTGGCCGTTGTATGTCATAGCCCCTCTGTGGGAGTGACTCCTCACCCAGGGCCTGGCAGCCAAGGAGAAATAGCTGGGGCTCAGGCGAGCAGTGCCCGTGGCCTTGAGCACTTCCTCAACGCAGGGAGGGCTGGCATGGGCTGGGGTGGCAGCGGGCTGTCGGCTGCCCCTCTGCAGTCCGGGCGTGCCCAGGATGGAGGGCGGGCCGGCTGCAGGCCTCAGCACTCACCTCTGCTGCAGTGGGGTGAGTTTGCTTTTGCTCTGTCTCCTGAACACGGCCTAGCAATGGGGGGAAAACAGCACTGAGGAAAAGTCAGGAAGGAGGTTTGGGCTGGGTGATGTCTCCCCTCCGCACCTGGTGAGGGCCTGGCTGGAGAATGAGGGTCTCTGAAGGGGGCGGTGAGGTGTCCTGGACCTGAGGGGAACTGCAGCCTGGCTGTGCAGCAGGGCGGGGTGGAGGGCGGCCCCTGGGGGGCCAGGGGAGCCCTCCTACTGCAGGCAGGGAAGGGACTTGGTGTGCGAGTCTGGTGAGCCACAGGGGAAGCTGCCAGCCCCGGGTGGTGGGGACCCCTATGCTGCGGCCCTGCGGAGGCCAAATGGACCTGGGTGCCGGGACACAAGTGTTTGTGCCACAGTACAGATCGCATGAAAGGCCCTGCCCCACGGTGGGGAGAGATGGCGGGCACAGAAGGAACGCTGGTCGGGTTGGTGGGGCAGGTACAGCCATGCGGGGTACAGTCTGAGTGCCTGTGGGCAGTGGCAGTGTCGGTTGGGGCCAAGAGAACCTGGTGCCGGAGTGGCCATTGAAACTCCATGGTGCCCAGTGGCGGTTGGTGTCCGGCACCGGTGCTCGTGGCCCCCCGGGTCTGGAAGGTTCTCCACAGTTGGCAGTTGTCGCAGCAGTCGACAGTTACTCCTCTAGCATGGCACCTGTGCTCCAACTGTAATGGTAACTAAACCACACACTCTCCTACCATTCCCAGCCTGGCCCAGCCCACACCAGCCTTACTGGGAAGGCCAGAGCTTGTCCCCAAAACTGTGGGCTTGAGGAAGTTTTGTGGCTATATGTGACCCAGCCGGGCAGCAATGTGGGGTAGAAGCTGCTGAGGATGTGGGTGGTGTTACAGAGCTGGGCATGGTGCTAGCAGAAAATCCGCTGAGAAATCATCGCTGGCTCAGGAAGGCCCTGTGCCTCTGACTGTTGGAGGCTGGGGGGTATTCAGGAAAGTATCACCATGTGCACAGCCTCTTCTCGAATTATTGCTGGGCCTCCACTTTTGGCCACCGTCAGAGGCAGGGACTGGGCCAGAAGGACCCTTAGCACACGTTGTATGTAATTAGTCCTCTGCAGCATGACTGGTGCGAGGCAGTGAACTGCATGCAGTAGAATGGTGCATTTGATGAGGTGATTATTCAGCTCTTGTAAATATTCACAAGCACCACTGAGCTGTAAGTAAATCGTGTTTGATGCCCCCCCTTGTCCGCCACACCCACTTCTGCCGTGAAGGTTAATACAAATTTCTGTGCCAGAGTCATAGCCTTGCTTAAAGAGCCAGCGAGAGGAACCTCAGCTACAAGAGGGCAGCAGGGTTGTGGGAGATAAAAAAACTATAAAAGAGAGTCCTCATAGCCTTTGGAGGTAGGGCAGAAGGCCAATTCAGGCTTTGACTCATGGGGTATTTTCCATTATGATCTACATACACCGTTCACGTTGAGTTCTTAGAGGAGGGATTGCTCTCAGCAAAACATGGTCCTTTTAGAGGCTGCTAACCTGAATACTAACACTTGCTTCTCAGAAAACAGCACTTCACCCAAACAGTTTGCCCATAATTTGAGAAACTGAGAGAACTGTTACAACAGTGTACTAACACCAAAATATTTTTTCATTTTAGTAGCTCTCCAGACTGCTCTCTACCTGAACATTACAGCATTTTTGATAGCCTAAGTGCAGGCCACCTGTTGCAAAAGGGAAGGAATTATGTATGTTAAACCATATAGCGGATCTAGTGACCTGTGTCATACCTATATTTTGTAACATACACCACAAAGTCCTACAGACTTTGTAGACCTGTGTGACCCTTCCATGCAGAACTAGTGTTGAAATAAGGGTACTTAACCAAGCAGATGCTGTGTCTTAAAAGACTTCTGATGTAACAACTGAAAGGCACTTTGGCTATACATTAGATCGAGTCCAGGCAAAAACAGTCTATGCCACGCTAGCAGCAGTCATGCCTATATTTCAGGAAATCCAAGTTTTCTCAGGAATACCCTTAGAATCTCCCCTGAATTGTTGCTCTATGATAAGAACATTATAACCAAACTAAGATGCAAAGCCAAAGTTTTACAGGTGAAAAACTAACTAGAACATAAATATTCCTGTAAATTCATGGTTGCAATATTCATATGCACATTTTTATCAAAAATAAGGAAAAATATTTGAATTTTAGTATTTTGGTAAGTTCTCTTAAGACTCTCTGCTGTCTTCATCTCTGATGAAGCCAGGGCAATGGTGAGTCACAATCATAAAATTTAGATTGCAAGATCACTTCAGGTGAAAAAGATTTGTATACATAAACTAGAAGTAATAAGGGAATCTGTGCTGCTTATTTCCTAAGTCTGAGGTTCTGCTTTGCAGTCAGTTAGTTTTAAGGTGGAAGAAGAAAGGAGGATTTTTTTGTGTGTGTAAACAAGAACATTTTAAGGTATGTGAATATAGTCATTCTTTTTTAAATTGCATTGGGGACCTTGAGATCCATGACACAAGTGGTTATCTCTTAAACTCAAGGACTAACAAAATTACACAACTGCAGTCACTGCTGTGCAATAAGATGTGCACTGCCAGAACTGTAAGTGTCCTGGTTTCGGCTGGGATAGAGTTAATTGTCTTCACAGTAGCTAGCATGGGGCTATGTTTTGGATTTCTGCTGAAAACAGTGTTGATAATACAGAGATGTTTTTGTTACTGCTGAGCAGTGCTTACACAGAGTCAAGGCCTTTTCTGCTCCTCACACCATCCCACCAGCGAGTAGGCTGGGGGTGCACAAGAGTTGGGAGGGGGCACAGCCAGGACAGCTGACCCCAACTGACCAAAGGCATATTCCATACCATGTGATGTCATGCTCAGCATCTAAAGCTGGGGGAAAGCTGGCCGGGGGTCCGCTGCTCAGGAACTGGCTGGGCGTCGATCGGCGGGGTGGTGAGCAATTGCATTGTGCCTCACTTGTTTTGTATATTCTTTTATCATATTATTATTTTCCCTTTCTTTTCTGTCCTATTAAATTGTCTTGATCTCAACACAAGTTTTACCTTTTTTTTTGTCGATTCTCTCCCCCATTCCACTGGTGGGGAGTGAGCGAACGGCTGTGTGGTGTTTAGCTGCCTGCTGGGTTAAACCACGACAGTAAGGTACAATACATTTTTCATCAGTGTGATTTGCTGCTATTTACAGTCAATACAATGCTGGAATTGAGACTCCTTGGTTCTTCCAGTGCTGATAGATAAGGTCAGTCTACTGGTTGCTGTGCACGGCAAAGAGTTAGGACTGAAGACATTAATTTATGTAGTACTTGCATTAACACGGTCTTCAGTCACGCATGGGATTGTTAGAGTGGTCTTATTTTAGATTCACCACAGTCAAGCACCTAAGCTTTTGCTTTTTCAATTCTGAGGGACAGCATAGAGAACTGATGCCCAAATTTTCTGGCCAAACAAGAAACAGGATGTCTTCCAAAGGCAAAGGAGAAGATAAATTGTGCCCAAGATGACTGAAAAAATTGGTGCAAGCAGACATGCCTAGATCAGAGTCCTGGGACTAGCAGGCTTAATTCATGTGCAGCTTGTGCTGCATATACGTACACACATGTCCTGGAGTGCTCCTGAATTGCCCTGGGAAGACGGTGGCTGGGAGCGTGCTGCCACTAACAAATACTTTACTAGATCTGCCACTGGCTCCTTCATGGTTCCCAGGAATGAAGGTACCAGGAGCAGGTTATAGGCCAAAATAATTGTTCCGGTGAGTCATACCAAGCTCAAGGGCCACAAGTTTAGCACCATCAGAACAATGAAAATTTGTCAGAGATCTAGGTTACATTCCCTGCTCTCCCAGGGAATGTCTGTAAAGGGATCTTGGCACCTCTGTGATGAACACAGCAAAAAATATATCCTCTGCACTATTCAGTGGTAGTGGCACAAAGTGTGGTCATCTGTGTCTGCTGGCAAGAGAAACTAAACCGCTTTAACAGTGCTGATACGCACAAAGCTTTTGGGCACCTGCAAGAAGAATGGAGCAGCTCGCACCTCTCTGAGCCACCTTGACAGTCTGTGAACTCGGGAAACTTGCCTACCACAGTGACACAATAGTTCAGATTTGTAAAGCAAATTTTGATTGCTTTTTTGTGCTTTCAGTGGGATTTGTTTGGCAATGACAGCTAGCTAGAAAGTCTTTAAATGGCACATAGGACTCTAGAGAGCAAAATTTGAGACTAGGGCAATAAACCCTATGACTACATCAACCAATCAGAGCCTTCACAGTAGAGAGTTACGGCTCTTGAGAATCAAGGAGTCTCTCTCTTCTGCAGCCATATTTGTCTCTTTTTCAGCTGGTTTCACAGTTAACCAGGATTTCTCTGCCTCAAAAACCACAAACCTTTCTTCTTCCCTTTTTTAGTTTAGTTTAGTTGCTGTGTCTCTGGGTTTCTGAGGCTTTCTGTTTTTAAGATATGTGTCAACAATTAATGCCTTTGGGATTCTTTTTCTGTTTTTGTTCAGGGATATTGTGGAAACTCTCCCATTGCTGGAAAGAGAATAGTAAATTCCTTATTACTCAGCAATCACTTTGGAGGAACCATTCCATTGGTTGCACAGCAGAAGATGAATATTTAATGGACCAGCACTAAGGGCTAATGAAAAGAGTGCAAAGGCTAATGCAGAGGCCAGTAAGAGACTTTCTGGGGCAGGAGACCTGTCCTAGCTTTATCACATCGCAATGCTGGATGTAGATAGAATCGCTAAAACCAGAAGTGAAAAACCAAAAAAAAACACTCATGAGAGAAAGGAAAGGAAAAAATTGGATTTACATTCTGCTTTTACAGAAGGTCTCACTCATCCTATATGTGCAATCAATTATTCAAATAATTTGTTGACAATTAATATAATTATTTCTAATTATTCTTGATTAGACTCCTGGAATTATGTGATTACATCTAGATGTATGCATCATAAATGCAGGAGGTACAGCCTAGATGAGGAGGAAATGTCATTTTATCTTTCAATTTATTCATTTTTACTGGTTAAAAGGACTCAGGAAGGTTAATTTACATGATCTTAAACAGAGGCTCATGGAACTCATCTTTATTACATTTCTTTTTGTAAGTTAAGTAGTAGAACCTCTTCAGTTATGGAGGCGAGAATTCACTGCGGTTTTTGATATTCAGGAAGGCTAAGAAACACCTTAGAGTTGTGTGATTGACATGCAAGTAATGTGAGTGTTTATGTTTACTTTCCACAAAATCAAGTCTGTAGTGCTAAGATAAGTAGGTTATTCCTAGGAGAACATAACCATTGGAATAGGATCAGTTAATTCAAAATTAATTTGTTTTTAATCCATCTCAGAGTCTTTGCCTTTCTCATGATATAAATTGAAATTTCATGTTTCCTTCTACTGTAAATTCAACTATGTACTTATAGTTATTTAGTATTTTACAATTACACTTGTGCTTAGAAGGTCTTGATATGTATTAGATAAGCATCTGAACTTGATTTTTTGTACATCTTTATTAAAAGCCATGACAAAGCTACTGGGTCTGATTCTGCTACAGTTGAGAATAGTGTAAGCTAGGAGTGATTGCTGAAGTCAAATAATTCTGCAAGCAAAGTACAAAATTGATTCTAAAGGTCTTTGATCAAGCCCATTTTTATTAGAAATGTGCATTGCTTTTAATGGCATTGTATCTAAGATTGCATCTTCTCACATGAGGGAATACCACATCTAAACAAAATAGATTCTGTCCACCAGCAGTTTGGCTATTGGGCAAATTCCTACTGAAGTGAGCAGAAACTCACTGTCAATTTAATTCAAGACTGGAAGCATCTCACAACAAATTATTATTGCAGAAAAATCCTTATGTGCATTGATTTTAATGGCATTGTATCTAAGATTGCATCTTCTCACATGAGGGAATACCACATCTAAACAAAATAGATTCTGTCCACTAGCAGTTTGGCTATTGGGCAAATTCCTACTGAAGTGAGCAGAAACTCACTGTCAATTTAATTCAAGACTGGAAGCATCTCACAACAAATTATTATTGCAGAAAAATCCTTGTGGCTAGATGAGCTTTAGTTAATACTTAAATCACAACTATATTTCTGTTTTTAAATTTATTTCGAGTTAACTAGAAAAAAAATCACTCTTTCTGTGCATTTACAAATATATGATCACATTTTAATTTATATCAACTTTTATTTTAAGTGTGTTAGGCTGCATAAATGAAGCCCTTCGGGAAAGAGATGAAGATAGAGGAGACCTACTGAAACTCTTTCTGCATTCTCTTTCCTCTGGAAGCCTTGCCAATGTATACGACTGCCTGATCACAGTAGCTCATGTGTCTAAACAGAATACATTAAGTCAAACCATAATGCTTTTCTGAAGACAGAAGCCAGTACTACATCTGCTCTGATGCTAGAGTATCAGCAAGTGAACGGTGAAGATTTTTCTACCAGAAGTTTTGACACGCTAGAAAATGTTGGCATGACCTCTGCTGAGAGAGGAAAGTTCTCACCAGTTTTTAATGCTCAGAGTAATGAAACCTCAGTTGAAAAGCACTCTCTGCAAAGATGCCTCTCACTAACTCATGCTGACCAAGAAGACACAGCATCAGTTTCAGGAATCTCTGAACTTCTTAAGGTTACTGAAGAACCTGAAGCACAGATTTTAAAATATGATCTAGAGATACCACCTCAAGCCAAAATCACATCAATACCACTTTCTTCTTTCCCACCTAAAATGCAGCAACTAATGTCAGCTGGAGCTAAAAATGTCTCTGAAGTAAGGCAAGCTACAGAAATACCAATTGTAACTTATGTATGGCCAGTAATAAAGACAGAAGAGGCTTCCAGCCCCTTTTGGGACAATTTTCCAAAGTCTTTAATCCCAACCAGCCCAAACTTAACAAGACACTGTTCTAGTCCTGATGTAGTAATTGAAGATGTGAAATGTTCCCAGATAACCCCAGTGAAACAGCTTGCACAAGAAGAGCTAGACAGAAAGACAGCAAGATCATATCCTCTTATTGTAAAGTCATCTAACAATGTTGTTTCAGGAATTTTAAAATCACTGACCAATAGCACAAATAAGGATTATAAGAACATATTACCAGTTTCATCCATCATTAGTCCTATTGGAGAGCAACTGGAAATTCCTCTCTTTAAGGGAAATGCTGTAGTGATCTATAATGGGCAAGTCTACCTTCTGTATGTAATGAGGCATGAAGCTCTGTCACCAGAAATGGAAATATATGGGCATCATACGTTGCTTAGGAAGGCCACAGTTTGGCTCATTACATGTAGTGCTATCCATGATGTAACAACCAAAGTTCCACGTCCACTGCTGTCAAGACAGTATGATGTAAAACAGAACATAAAATGTCTCAAAACGCTTGCTACCCTCACACACCGAGATAAAACTTCAAATGCAACACATTTCTCTTCACACAGGATGACTACCATCTCTCAGCCCAAGCAGTGCTCCCCTTCTACTGGGAAAAGGCAACAGGTAGTAACCTATGATGATCAGTTGAATGTCTATGTACAGACAGTAAATTACTTTCCTCTTAGATATAGCCGAATGCAAAGTGCATTATTCAGCATATTTTTAACAGGAGAAGTGCTGTGAAAGATGAGTGACCTGGTTTTGATTTCACTTTTGTGGAGAAGCCAAACACAACTCCAAGTAGACACAATCACTGTAGAGTAAATCAAAGTAAGGCTTGCAGGTCTTTAAGACTTTACCATTTAAAAAGAAAATATAATTAAATAATGCTGAGAAAAAATACATCTTGAGCTATATCAAGATTTTTTCAGTATTTGAACAGGACAAAAGCACTGCACTTAATGGGAGCAGCCTGTTGCTATTTAGAGAATAGTAGGGCTGACTTTAGTATAATGGCAAGATATTTCCCAAGGGAGAAGGTGGGGTTTCTGAAAACAGGTGATGAGAGCCATCATGATCACAGTTTAAAGTAACAGTCAAAGAAGAGAGAAGGGCTGGCTTGCAAGGTCCCTCCTGAATTAAATTCTTCTTGCAAAGCCACATCCCTGAGGTAGAGGAGACTGTAGAAACAAGCTGTGAAGTTAAACTGGGGTGGGAGGAAAATGGCTGTCCAACACACTGTCAGAAAGTCAAGTTCTACTCTTTCTTGTTTCAGTTCCTCAACAAGACTGCGTTCCCATCCAAAGAAGGCTTGCAAAAAAGAAATGAGAAGGAAGCACGACGGGAAGAAGGCAATGAACTAAGAAGGAAATTTGGTATTGTTAAAGATGTGAGAGTCCATCTCAACAGGATGATTCTCCCTGAACTGATAGAGGATTCTGGCAAAGCTTCTGTGCTTAAATGGAAGGTAACCACCAGGACAAAGAAATGGGGAAAAGTGCGAAAGGTACTTAACTGTCCATATACAAATATAAAGTATGCATCACCTTGAAGTGTTCATTACACATCATTAGTACACTTTTCAACATTTTTGAGCGTTTAAGCCCCCGTCATAAAACATTTTCTATTTGAGAACCTTGCAATGTTTATAAGGATTTATAGTGCCGATATTTTTTATATCGGGGCTATTGGTAGAGTCAGGAAGCTGACTCTGCCTTTGCAGTCTGCATTTGCTCTGTTACATTCTGTTATTTTCTGCAGTCTTTAACTAAACGCTCTGAGAAGAATAGCAGATCTCTCTAAATGTATTTTTTACCATAATAAGAAAGATTTTAAATGGGAAAGCCAATCTTCATACAGGGAGAGGGAGATCCCTGCTCTCTTCATCTATAAATCACATCTCTCTAGTTGCACCATGCCGTAATGAAGTGCATCTTTTTACTATGTATGTTTAAAATTACTTCTGATAACTGTTTAATAAAATTGTGTTAAATTATGCCTAAATGCTCTGAAATAACACACATTTAATTCATGGTATCCTAATTAAATGTAATGGCACATCAGAATCTCTCTATATATCTTAGATACAGTTGTGTCCCTTTCAACAGCACACAGAGTCATCACAGTTGAAGTGGGGGTAAGAAATGAAACTAATATATACATTCAGATTTTCCCCAGATGTGAAAGCAGTCAAACCACAGGATCCCAGCCCAGACCTGTTTTAAATAATGTTATATTTAGTTAATCTACTGGTTTGGCAAAGACCCTAATTTTGGAGTTCTTAAATCTTAAAAACTCCAATTCAGCAATGTAATGAGCTCGTGTTTGTATTGATATCAAGCATGATGGGTCCTTTTTAAGATCTTAGTACTATTTGCTGCAATATAGTTACCTACCAACTGGCAGATGTGAGTCCATTGCATGAAGAGCACCAGAATCTCCTTGTGGACAGGAACAAGAGAGTCTTGATCTAAAGCAGGTTTTTGTTTCTCTCCTACACTGTCCAACCTAGATAATTCTCTTTGGAAAGCAAATAAATTATGGATTAAGTGATAGTTGGCTGAAAGTGTAGGCATTAATTGTCACACATTGGATCCTTTTTGTTTAACAGGAAACTCTGCCACTTGAACCAGTTTTGCCAAAGAGAAGAAAAGTAACTAGAGCAATGGGAGTAATCTCAAAGGAGAGGAAGTGCATTCAAACCAGAGATGCAGCACTGCAGAGACCATGAAGAAGGGGGAAAAAATTATTCTGTGCAGTCAGCGTGAAAGTCCAAAGAACACCACACGTGCTGCCAGACCTTCTTTTGGAAAGACCACTGAACAAACCCTGTGCATTCAAGATGACCCAGATGAATTTTCCCAGAGAAAAAGTTTACTTTCTGGTTAGTGAAAGGATACTTTCTCTGCAAATACACCAGCTGTAAATGAAACATCAAGAGGAAAAAGGATCGTAAACAAGCTTTTAAAATCCTTAAAGAATGAGAAACAGCAGTAGAAGCAGAAGTGAAAAATGGTTCTCACTGCTTTTAAATTACAAAACTTTAAATCCGTATTTGGGGGGGTGGGTTGTTTGTTGTGCTTTCTATCGTGCTTCTGTTCATTTAATTAAAAAAAAAAATCGTCTCAGTTAGTCTTTAGTTTTGCATTTAATATCTTGAAAACACTGACCATTTCTTCTCTCGGAATCTCTTCTATTGAGTGGGTTCATTATTACAGCCTGAATGTGTTCTCTCCTCCACTAGTGGAAAAGTGATGGAGTTAACAGGCTTCACATGGAGCATCACATGATACATACAGAGAAACAGGACCCTGGTACTCACAGCTGTTTGATGTTTAAAGAAGACGAGTAACCAGAAGTCTTTACATACATGTCTCTCGATTACTTATTGAATTAAGTGACACTATAGCTTGTTATGTGCGATATTGTAATTTCAGAAAGTTGATGTTTAAATGGCAGTCATTTTACAAAGCTAAACTTTCTTTTTTATTTTTACTGCAGCTAATAAAATCCTGATATAATAAAAACCTAAGCCTACTAGTTTATTCTTCATCAAGGGCTTTGCCTCCAATATTCAAATCTTGTGGCACAATGAAGAAATTGGCAACAATCTTTCTAACATAAATCTTTAAATGTTATATCATTAAAATCTGACATACAGACAGTTGCCTAAGAGACTGTACCGTCAACGGACAAAGGAACAGCCCTCCTCGGTGGGAGTTTGCCTGTGTGGAGGCTGTGAGGACCACCTCTGCAGGAAAATAACAGCAGAGATTGAGGACAGAGCTCTTCTCTCTCTTGGGTACAGCTTGCCATCTGACTGGACAGTCTCAATCTGGAATTGAAATAGATTTCAACTAACAACCATCTACTTACAAAAGACTGCCAAGAGCACTGAGTCAGGGGTACTCACTAAAAGTAAATTATTTTGCTTGAATGCCTGCGTTGCAAAATAGGCGGTTGCTAATGCATTATTCTGAGTTTCTTTCCTAATTGGCTACTGACCCAGATTGTGTGCTGCTAGTAATATGTTACATGTCCTTAGAGACAGAGATGTCCTAACATTTGCGTTAAGGCTCAAATAAGTATTGTTATATAACATAGAAGAGTCCCAACCTTGTGTCCCTTTAAAGACTGGGGGGACTTTAACTGCAACCAACATCAATTTAAGCCAACAGAAATCCTCTAAGAGGAACAATATAATATGGAAGCGTACAATGCATAAATCCAGACAGACCATTTCAGAGTTTCAGGCCATACTACTGACACTAGTTTTATAGCATCCACCCGGCCTGTCTGTCTACCCCGTACTGTGCTAGTTTCTTGAAGCTGATGTTCTTGGTACATTGAACCCTGGCAGTTCAAGGTTATTTCACACTCCCTCTTTGATAAAGGGGGAGATGTCTGTTCTCTTATGAAATATGCTCCACCATTTCTACCTGAATTCCTTCATAAGATACTGAACTTAATACATTCTCTGGTTTGAGAGCTGTTCCCAGACAAGTAGCCTGCAGGCAGACAGGCCCAGAGGTGGCCTGAGTAGCCTTCAGAGGAGCTGGAAAAGGAGGTTATTTCCTCTTGACACCACCTGACAAAATGCAACAAGGCAGGATATGGTATTCATAAGAACTGTATGGATCCTTTTACTCAGCAAACCAACACCACAACTCAAATTAGTTCAGTCCTTAATTTAACTTTAAACAGCCTAATACTGTAAAAGCCAATAGAAGCTTGTTGACCTATGGCCCAAGCATAAAATAGAAATCTTAGGATTTATACCTTTTGCACTTAACTTGGAATGTTGTTTGTAATGTTTTTTGATTGCCTTATGGAACTACAGTACAAGAATAGAACATGCTCGATATTCTACATGTGTCTGCTAAAAGCCAAGGGCTGCACAGCTGCTAGCCGTGCACAGATGTAGATACATCCCATCGGTATGTTCTCATTTCCTGCAAGCAAAATAAATGGGACGATTGGATGTGACATGAACTTAACTGAGTAGAGTACTACAGTATTCTATCCAGTGAGTATAAATTGTTCCATTGCTTGGTATTTGTTATTTCTTATTCTATTCATTATCTCTTTTGCATGGTATGATAAATTGACAAGCTGTCCTGCTTTTATTAGCTAATTTACCAGCATATTTTGGAAAAGGTCTTGAAGGTTTTGGGTTTCTGTTCTCTATTTAAAGGCAAAAAAGAGAGTATTTTAATCGAAGGACAGAAAACCAGATACCATTCACCACCTCGCAGCTTCTTCTGCCCATCAGGTCATTTTTATCTTTCCTGACAGCAAATGCCCTGTAGTGAAGGTGTGGCCTCCTGCTCACACATAAAACAAACCCATCACATTTTTAATGTACAGTGCAAACTAAAGTAACATGTAAAGTATGAGCCATATCCCACTGCGCTTCCAACAGCGTGTATTGCTTTCTACCCTGGGTAGCCCTCATCGCGACCTTGCCCCAGGCAAGAGTCCGCACAAATGGGCCTCACAGCCCCAATTCATCTTTGCAAAGCTGAGTTCCCGTGTGTAATTTTCTCACAAACACTCCACTGTTTTAATTCTGGCAAATATCATACAAGCTATATAGCAAAAACAAAACAGCCATTTCTCTCCCATTAGTCATTTCTAGAAACATCCTTCAAATGTAAGGTTTCCAGCACTGTGCCAAAACCAACAAAACATAAATAATCACATCTTTTAAAAAGTTAGGCCTGACCCTGTTTTCACTCTTCCTTCTAGTTAGCAACACTTTTATAAATTTGTTTCGAGTCTAGTTCAAATCCATCTGAAAAGGCCAAAACAGCCACAAATAACAATGACCTATCTGGAAAGAATGGCAAGGTTTTAATATTTGACAACTTTCATTTAAATAGTCCTGCTTTGCTTTATTATTTCCATAATTTCTTGCCATTTTATTGTAATAATCTGTGATACAAACACTTTCCCCAATGTATTTTTGAGGTAGAAATCCTGATCTTTATTTTTAAGCCCCTGAAGAGACAGGAATAACTCTGAATTATGCTTCAGTGTTCAGTATTTCAGATGTTTCTTGAAATTTTATTCTTTGCACTTAGAATTACTCAAGAAATAAGAAGATTCTATAACTTCATTAAATTCTTGTTCCTTATTTCTGTCTTTCGCCAGTTCAAGTTCCTTTCATTGAAAATAAAGTCGATGTAGAGGCTACGATGTTTTTGAAACACCCTTCACAAGCACGTATCCCTTGCTAAAGAGAACACCTTGCAAAATGTTTTGTTTTCATGTGCAAGGCAAGATTTGTAAGCAGGGATAATAGCTGTCACCAGAGTAACAAGAATATTTAGAAAAATTCCTTCATGCAAAGCCACATCCCTGAGGTAGAGGAGACTGTAGAAACAAGCTGTGAAGTTAAACTGGGGTGGGAGGAAAATGGCTGTCCACCACTCACTTTCAGAAAGTCAAGTTCTACTCTTTCTTGTTTCAGTTCCTCAACAAGACTGCGTTCCCATCCAAAGAAGGCTTGCAAAAAAGAAATGAGAAGGAAGCACGACGGGAAGAAGGCAATGAACTAAGAAGGAAATTTGGTATTGTTAAAGATGTGAGAGTCCATCTCAACAGGATGATTCTCCCTGAACTGATAGAGGATTCTGGCAAAGCTTCTGTGCTTAAATGGAAGGTAACCACCAGGACAAAGAAATGGGGAAAAGTGCGAAAGGTACTTAACTGTCCATATACAAATATAAAGTATGCATCACCTTGAAGTGTTCATTACACATCATTAGTACACTTTTCAACATTTTTGAGCGTTTAAGCCCCCGTCATAAAACATTTTCTATTTGAGAACCTTGCCAATGTTTATAGGATTTATAGTGCCGATATTTTTTATATCGGGGCTATTGGTAGAGTCAGGAAACTCTGACTCTGTCGATAGTCCTGTGTTATCAATGATGTTTCTGCACATGACTGCTAAAAGTTGAAGAGCGTGGTCACATAAATCACTGCAATCAAATAAGGACTTTGATTTTTCAGCTTTTAAAGCATTTTTTTCATAACTCCAATTTTATTTCCTACAAAACTGCTAGACACAGGATAGGGAGTAGAGGAGGACATCCTGTCAATGACAAATTTCTCTCCAGTCAAGTTCAGAGAGAGGCTGTGCCAAAGGCTAGTTCAAAATGGGAGCCTTGCGTTAGATACTCTGAAACCTCTCCACTCTATCAATATGGGCTCACTACGTAGCATAGTGACCCATGCCTTTCAAGACCAGTAAAGTTTTCCTCACCACTATTGCTTCTAAAATGCCAGGATCTGTCTTTCCTTTCAGTTCTGGCAAAAACTGCAGACAGAATGCCAGCTACTGCTGAAGTCTTTTCCAGGTCTGTATTCTGGTTGCCATTCATACAACTGCAACTGAAAGCAGAAAGAGTGCCTGCTGACCTTGTACTGCTAGTAATGGTTTGCAGTCTGTCTGTGCCAATGTGTGTCTCACAGGCAGAAACAGGATGCTCTTCATACCTGCGCTAGGCTCTCTTTGGTTTGGGCACACTGCCACTCACTTTTAGTTAAGGTGCTAGGAGCACAAGCTACATATTTTTAGTCATTGCCCTACTTTTGAAAAAGTCTTGCCCTATGGCCTTGCTTAGAAGTATCATCTGGCAGTTTTGCCTGGTGTTATCAGAGGCTCTGGGAACAGATGTCTGCTTTCTCTGATCCCTGAGATTTTCAAACTCTCAGTTGCAATTGGCCTATTGTGTCCATTTTGTATTTTTCTACAATAAAACTCTTAAGATTGTTTCAGCAGCCAGACGACATAGGATTTCCAAAAACCTGTATCATTTCAATATACCTTTGTTCAAGTTCTTATTCTGCAGATAAATTAGTAATCGATAATAAATTAGTATTTCTCCTAGATCTGTCTTTTATCTCTTGTTCAGCCTGTAGCATTAAACTTCCATTTCTGTCAACTGAATTTTAAACCAGCATCACCTGACCTTTCCAAGATCTCTGAGAATGGTCCACTTTTGTTGTCCCTGAATGCGAACATCATTGGTGTACCCTCAGCATTCATGAAAATACACTACATCTTTTTCAAGGCCAGGTAAAGCAAAACTTTCCAAAGAATATGTTGAAAGAGCACAGGTACAAACTACTTCTTTTTTTTCTTTCTGCCAGTACCCAAATGAAACATCCATTGTAAGAAAATTAGTGTTGGCTGTCATTTTTCCTAAAATTTCTTTCCCAGAATACATGCCAAGGCAGAGTCTCAGGATAGTCAAATTTTGATGGTGTTTCTCCATCTATCCACATTATCGTTTCTCAACACGTGTCCCAAAAATCAAATAGGAACAAATATCTAACGAAACATTTCATGTTTGGATTTATTCTACAGCTGTTTTACACAGATGTTTCCACTTGCTAGACTGCTGTTCAGAACTTTCAGTTACCAACAGTGTTATTAGTTCTCATTAACCTTAATTGTTATTGTGACTGTCTTTTCAATATTTTCTGCTGCCATGTCTTTTTTTTGCAGATTACATTGTTTGTTACATTCTGTCATTTTCTGTAGACTTTGTGTTCTTTGCAGTTAGAGTTATTCCAGTAATAAAAAGATGCTATATCTTCTTTAAATTGTTGTTCCTTATTTCTGTCTTTCTCTGGTTTATGTTCCTTTCATGAAAATTAAGTTTACGTAGAGGTTACGACAGTGCAATTAACCTACAATTTCTGAGTCTTGCTCAGGAGATCCTTCAAACGCAAGTGCCCCTCACTAAAGGGAACACCTGTGCAAAATGTTTTGTTTTATATGCAAGACAAGATTTACAAGAAGGGTAATAGCTGTTATCAGAGTAACTAGAATATCTAGAAAAATAGACAAGCACCGTATTCCAAAGTTGAATGCCAAGTAAGAACAATTGGTAAGGATATAATTAAATACATATTACCTAGACAATCCAATATATTAAAAAAAAAA